ACGTTGATTCAAGTTGGATATTGTGCCCATTGGATACACATCCTGGTGGGGGCGCTGCTCGAGGTCGCAATGGTGGGAGGGGCGAGGCTCCACACAACACGTGGGCCCACACACGTCACACGCCCCTAGAGTATATAAAGACGAGCGTTATCCCTGGCAGGCAGGCAGGAGGATATTCATTCCCGAGGCAGACATGAAGACTCTGGTGAGTGGCCGAGATCTCGTTGATGTTGTTCAGGGGAGTTCCAAACCAGTGCCGCAGCTAGTAAACAATAATTTGCTACAGACCGAATCTTTATCAACTCTGTGTCTCCTGTTGTTCCCTATATTGTTTATTGTGGAACAATAAACACAATACACGCTAATGAAACCACATTCTGCGCACAGTTACGGTTAAGTTAGTCATTCTTCAGTCATGTGGGTTCAGGAACTAGATCCCATTGTTCTTCAAGTAAGAGCATATACTATTTTAGTGAACTTGAACATACAGTTCTCATAAGTGCATCGGTCACCCATCTAGTGGAGGGCAGGGAAGTGGGAACATACACGTGTGTGGACTTCGACACGCCTACAGTATGTAAACTTAAGATACGTGGCAATATTACCTGTGTTTTTACGCACTTTTTGAACATTTGAGATCATATTATCTAGAAATTTTAAAAAGATCTTGTTCTTAATTGAATTTTGATTCTCGTGAACATGAGAAAATTAACATATATATAATGTGTATTTCTGTTAAATTAATCACAGTATTATGTAATAAGCCAGCCGCTCCTGTTTAGGGAGTACGTATAGTATGGATGAACACCATCGTAATATATTAAAGAAAAGGAAATTAGATACTCGAACTCAGTATTATTGAGTTTGGACAAACCCGCAAAAGGTTTTGTATTTATGTTGCAAAGACAACCTAACCTTCCTGGGCCTTATAGACGCGACCTGAGGCCTAATTACATGTATGTGCTATGCTGTTCCTAGGAATATTTAAGTTTGGTATTTAGCATTATTTGTATAGACTCCTTAAAGTAAATAGTATCAAACTCTACTATCTAATTGCATTTTACGTCAATATATATACGAAGGCCTACATAGTAACAAAAAGTACTATCAAAACAGGAGGATGGGCTGGAAAATGCAACATCTAACACAAATATTTAATGTAATAAATAAATATAATATATTATATTATATTATTATATATAATAATAATTATTATATAATTATATAATATATTATATTATTATATTATTATATATAAAATTACAATCATATTTAATTGTAATTTAGATGATATATCTATCATCTCTGGGGCAATGATAGATTTAACTACCATTTGCGCCAGAGGGAAGGGAGGGAATTATCACGGGAAAGCGCAGAGTAATAACGACTATATAGCACTTGGAAAGGATCAGCATAAGGATTATGGATGGGGCGGGGACAAGGAATGGTGCCCAAACACTTGGTCGGTCTGGGCTTGAACGCGGACCTGCATGAAGCGAGCCTGTAGCTCTACTGTTTAGCCCAAGTGGTTGGAGAGTTAGAAGAGTTCTCTGCTCGTGTTTGTAATACTCGTTTGTAATTCTCTGTAGTGTGGGGCTGAAATTTGTGTAGTGGAGTGGGCTGAGTGTTGCGTGTTTAGGTCACATGTGGACGAGTGGTGTAGTGGAGTGGGCAGGATGTTGCCTGTTTAGTACATGAGTATTACAGTGAACACATGTGACTGCTTTGAGGTTGGAACACACACGTGAACGACACACGCACACTAAGTGCAGTTGTATACAAACACCCAATTCAACTGAGCCATGTTGTTTCAGTGAAGTTTCGAAAGACAAAGAGAGATTTTGAAGCTCTGACACGTTCACTGATGAGGAGGCAACGAGGGTTATGTGATGGGGAAGGTGTCAGTAGTGTTTATCTTCTAAATCTCGAAACACTTTATTAACAATAGTTTATACAGTTTATATTTAGTTAGTTAACCATATCTACTTAAACTACATTATATAGGAAATGCTTGTTTTTTTTACAGTTATAATGCAAAAATTAATAATAATTATATTATAATTGATCAGGTGTTTGTCCGCAGGTGATTCTAGCGGTTGCATGCAGCTGCTCAGCACAGCTGGTGTTGCCCTACGGGGCTCCCTGGGTGCTGCCCTCAGCCAAGCTGGAGGGAGATGCCAAGTCTGTTGCTCTCCACACCCCTTACATCAATCCCTTTGCTTACTCCTTCGCTGCACCCTACGCTACACCCTACTCTTATCCCTTCTCGTACCCACTCACCTACTCACTCCCAGCTGACGCGACCACCCTCAAAGCCACCGAGTTTCCCTACGTGTACCAGGAGGAGAAGGCCGTAGAGCAGGCTCGCAGACGTCGGCGAGACGTGGCGGTAACCCTGCCGCAGGTGTATGCCGTGCCCACCGTGGCCAAGACCAAGGTTGAGACCACGCAGTTCGAACCTGTTAAGGCTGCCACCCCTGCCGACACCACCAAGCTCGAGCTCACCACCAAAGAACACGAATTCAATGTTCCCGCCGTCAAATACGTCCAGCCCGTCGTCAACCTGAAGCCAGTCACTTACTCACCTGTCTCTACTGCCTTCCCTTATGCAGCCCTACCCTACACTGCCCCTTTCTCTGCCCCTTACTCTGCGTTTCCCTACGCTGCTCCTTACCATGCTCTACCCTACACTGCCCCATATGCAGCACTCCCCTACAACTTCGCACATGTCCCAGTGGTAAAATTCAAAGAATAAATTATTTACAAACAATACCTGAAGATCATATTGTTTTAGCTGGGTCGTCTGTGTTTGTAATGCATAAATTTCTTTAAATAATGGTAATGTCTTCTCACAGACGTATTAACATAAGACAGAAACTCACACTTATATATTTTATGTAAAGTCTTAAAATACAATAGTCTTTTGCACTCTCTGGAGTGCATTATCAAGGTCTGAGTATGTGGTTTAAACAATTCATCTGCAAACCTTGTACCTTGATAATGCACTCAGGAGAGTGCGAAAGACTTGTAATTCAAGTCTTGACATAAAATACATCAACACATAAGTGTGGGTTTTTATCCTATATATTTCTTTGTTGCATCAGTTTGAAGAACATAACGTTAAATCACAGGAAGAAATCAACATATTATACAGTCCTGTTTCCCAGAAATATTCCTGCATAAACTCATTTCCCCCCTCCCCCCCTCCAAAAAAATATGCATAACCGACCAAGACAAAATACAGCACTGAAGAACTTGATTACCTTTCGGACAAGTCAAAGTTTTCGTCTTTAAACTGTATTTGAGAAAAAAAGCATTTGTCAATAAATATAATAATACAATATCTGAAATTATGTAACCTTTTGATACAATATTCCTATAAGGATTGAAAACCCTGTTAAAGTTGGATTTTACAAATTATATTCATCCCGGGCGGAACAGAAATGGTTGGTCACATTTCCTATCACCTAATGTTTCTGTTCACCTAGCAGTAAGTATGTACTCAGCAGTTAGTCAGCTTGTTGTGAGGTTGCATCCTGGGCGGTGTGAGTAATTCCATCTTGAAGGAGAGGAGGGACCTCGATATAAGCCTAACATGTGTGAATACACCCTGGCTTCCTGTCTCCCGACACAATGAATAATTATATATTGATGACACAATCATTTGAAATATTTTGCTTTACTGAAGAAGGCCATGAAAGGGTGGATGTGGCAACCAGGTCTCCTGAGGAAGACCTTGGAGAGAACCAGTCTATTTAGTGTGCGTCTGTGTGTGGGGATAAAGTGAAGGTGTTTATTATTTCCTTCGTGTCACATTTAATGTGTCACCAGTGTGAAGTGAATGCAGAACACGGCATGGAAACGAAGGGGAGGGGGGGAGGAGAGTGAGGTGTCTGGGAGGAAGTTAGTAGTCTTTGCTCGGCTGTATATACTCTCCTATCGACTTGAGAATGGTCCAGGACGGACCGAAACGTCGTCGTCCCTTCACCTTCTAGTGTGTGGTCTGGTAAACAATATTCTCTCCTACACTGGCTTGTGAGTCAAGTTCTGGACTGCCCCTTCCAGTTACTAGCTCTGAACTTCTATTAATTCTTGAAATAATGCTTTGTAATAACGTAAGCTAAGTTCCCTGTCAGCTAAATTCACGCGCTACCTACCCGAACACTAAAGCTAAGTCCACTATCAGCTTAATCAATGCGCTACCTACTTGAATACTAGAGCTGAGTCTACTGTCAGCTTAATCCACGCGTTACCTAATCGAACACTAAAGCTAAGTCCACTGTCAGCTTAATCAACGCGCTACCTACTTGAACGCTAAAGCTAAGTCCACTGTGAGCTTAATGAATGCGCTACCTACCTGAACACTTAAGCTAAGTCCCCTGCCAGCTAAATCAACGCGCTACCTACTTGAATACTAAAGCTAAATGCACTTTCAGCTTAATCCACGCGTACCTACTCGTAAACTAAAGATTACTTTCAGTTCATTTCTAGTTTCCACTCATGTCCTCTCGTCCAACTATTCTTCGTACTAAACATTTTGTGTTAGTCCACTTTATCATCCCCTTATTAGACTTAGTAAGTCTAATTCCCTCAGCATTTCCTCGTAATTCAATCCTTTAAGTTCATTACCGAGGGAAACCTTTAGTCTTTCTTAAACTTAGTTTTGTATTGTTTCGGTTGGGGATCCCAAAATGCGGGAATCAGATTCTAATTCTGATCTAATATATTTAGTTTCTACGTTCTGAAACTTACCTTTGCCATAATCCTGTTGGTTACTGAATGTCTTGACATTCGCATATGCATCCCCCCGAGCTCAAGGCAGTAGCTAAGAGCTTTCGTGAGAATAAGGAGATGGTCGTCAGGAGAGGTGACAAGTCGTCAATATACGTTATTCTTTAAAAAGACGAATATCTGGCAAAAATGAACCACATCCTCTCCGACCAAACTAAATTCCAAAGGGTAACGAGAGACACTACAGCCGATTTTAAAACGAGGGTAAAAAAATTGATTAAAACTGTGTAAGACAAGAAATCACGATTCCTCCTACCAAAAGTTATCGGGGAATACTAACCTGGTTATGCATACGGGAGCCGGTCGGCCGAGCGGACAGCACACTGGACTTGTGATCCTGTGGTCCCGGGTTCCATTCCGGGCGCCGGCAAAAAACAATGGGCAGAGTTTCTTTCACCCTATGCCCCTGTTACCTAGCAGTAAAATAGGTACCTGGGTGTTAGTCAGCTGTCACGGGCTGCTTCCTGGGGGTGGAGGCCTGGTCGAGGACCGGGCCGCGGGGACACTGAAAGCCCCGAAATCATTTCAAGAAGATAACGGGAATGTCAAGTCCCACAAACCTGGAAACCCACTTCAGCCAATCATCAGCCAGATACCTACATACAGACAGGCTAAGCAACTCAACTGCCTGCTGAGTCCTTATGTGCCTTGTGCTTTTAGCCTGAAGTCTCCAAAGGAATTCATTGACTTACTGTGGGGAGCACGGGCCACAATGATCGAGCCTGTGGATGTCGCTGTTCACCAATGTGCCTCTGAATGAAACAATCAGGATGATTATGGACAGAGTGTATCGTGATCCGGCTTGCACCAATCTAGACATAAAAAAGAGCATACTAAGAAAGTTACTTGAAGCCTGCTCTAAAGAGGCCTCCTTCTTGAGTAACAATGGGCACATGTATAAGCAAGTAGATGGGGTCGCCATGGGTTCTCCCCTAGGTGTCCTTTTCACGAACTTCTACATGGGTACCATAGAGCAGAGGGTGTTAGTTGACATGGATTTGAAACCCGCCATATACTGCAGGTATGTTGATGACATTTTTATGCAGGTACCTGATGTCAGACGTCTGCAGCTGCTGAAGGAGGCATTCGAGCAAAATTCGGTGTTAAGTTTCACTTACGAGATGGAGAGTGATGGGAAGTTGCCCTTGCTAGATGTAACAGTCACGGAAAGGAATGGTGGATTCCACACTGCAGTCTAAACTAAGTAAACAAACATAGGAATCTGCCTTAATGCCAATATCGACCGCCCAGAGAGGTACAAGAGGAGTGTTGTCAATGCCATTGTCGACCGGGCTCACACTCACAGCTCTGGTTGGAAGCAAGTCGAAGAAAAACTCTGTAGGGTAAGGCAGGTCCTAGTCAAGAATGGCTTCTCTAACGGTTATGTTGAAGACGTCATAAAAAGAAAAGTAAAACGCCATGCAACCTCTGAGAAGTCATCTAACACAGCAGTTGTACCCCCTATTAGACTGTTTTACAGGAACTGCTTTTCGACGGCTCATAAGACGGTCTAAAGTGTCCACCGTTTTATGAGCCGGTAAAACGGTGGAAAGATATTATTAATAGGAACGTTATTCCCACAGACAAAAATCAGAAGATACAATTGACAATTTACAACAAAAACAAGAAAACATCCAACCTACTCATGAACTCTCCAGACACCAAACAGAACGCCTAGAAAGAAACCAACGTCGTCTATGCTTTCACATGCCCACTTTGAGATTATCAGTTCCAAAGATCTCAGTATATAGTCAAATAGGCAAGACAACAACTTATCTTACCTTTTCAGTCATATTAAAAAAATATAAATATACACATACATTATATATATATATATATATATATTAGTATATTTTGGTAGCAGTCTTTCCTGTAGACATATATTATTAAATATGACCGAAAAAGTAAGATTAATAATTCTAACACGAATTTTCTCAATCTTTCGTACATTACGCTTCACTGTTGGAGGTAAATCAAAAATCACTTCTCCAAAATTCATTTTTATTTCTAGTCTGACGCGACACGGGCGCGTTTCGTAAAACTTATTACATTTTCAAAGACTTCACAAATACACAACTGATTAGAACTTGCGTTTCCCTGATTTTATATCTACATTTGAGTGAGGTGGGAAGGGTGATGTGGCATTACATTTGAGTGAGGTGGGAAGGGTGATGTGGCATTAACACAAGACAGAACACTAGGGGATATTAATAGGGTATTAAAAGTATCAACACAAGACAGAACAGAAACAATGGGTATTGAATAGAAGTGTTTGTAGAAAGCCTATTGGTCCATATTTCTTGATGCTTCTATATTGGAGCGGAGTCTTGAGGTGGGTAGAATATAGTTGTGCAATAATTGGCTGTTGATTGCTGGTGTTGACTTCTTGATGTGTAGTGCCTCGCAAACGTCAAGCCGCCTGCTATCGCTGTATCTATCGATGATTTCTGTGTTGTTTACTAGGATTTCTCTGGCGATGGTTTGGTTATGGGAAGAGATTATATGTTCCTTAATGGAGCCCTGTTGTTTATGCATCGTTAAACGCCTAGAAAGAGATGTTGTTGTCTTGCCTATATACTGGGTTTTTTGGAGCTTACAGTCCCCAAGTGGGCATTTGAAGGCATAGACGACGTTAGTCTCTTTTAAAGCGTTCTGTTTTGTGTCTGGAGAGTTTCTCATGAGTAGGCTGGCCGTTTTTCTGGTTTTATAGTAAATCGTCAGTTGTATCCTCTGATTTTTGTCTGTAGGGATAACGTTTCTATTAACAATATCTTTCAGGACCCTTTCCTCTGTTTTATGAGCTGTGGAAAAGAAGTTCCTGTAAAATAGTCTAATAGGGGGTATAGGTGTTGTGTTAGTTGTCTCTTCGGAGGTTGCATGGCTTTTCACTTTCCTTCTTATGATGTCTTCGATGAAACCATTGGAGAAGCCGTTATTGACTAGGACCTGCCTTACCCTACAGAGTTCTTCATCGACTTGCTTCCATTCTGAGCTGTGGCTGAGAGCACGGTCGATGTATGCGTTAACAACACTCCTCTTGTACCTGTCAGGGCAGTCGCTGTTGGCATTTAGGCACATTCCTATGTTTGTTTCCTTTGTGTAGACTGCAGTGTGGAAACCTCCGCCCTTTTCCACGACTGTTACATCTAGAAAAGGCAGCTTCCCATCCTTTTCCGTCTCGTAAGTGAAACGCAGCACGGAACTCTGCTCAAATGCCTCCTTCAGCTCCTGCAGATGTCTGACATCAGGTACCTGTGTAAAAATGTCGTCAACATACCTGCAGTATATGGCCGGTTTCAAGTTCATGTCGACTAAGACTTTTTGCTCGATGGTACCCATGTAGAAGTTTGCAAACAGGACACCTAGGGGAGAACCCATGGCGACCCCATCTACTTGCTTATACATGTGCCCATCCGGGCTCAAGAAGGGTGCCTCTTTAGTACAAGCTTGGAGTAGTTTCCTCAGAATACTTTCTGGCATGTCAAGAGGAGTACAGGCTGGATCACGATACACTCTGTCGGCTATCATTCCGATTGTCTCGTCCACAGGT